CGTCGTCATCGGCGAAAACGGCGTGTCATATCTCCTTCCCGGCGCACCCTTCGAGTTCCAGTACAGCTACTCCGAGACCCCAAAGGTCAAGCCTTTGGCCATTCGCGAACCGGCCTTCTTGCCCTTCGCGCCGCCCACAATGCCGAGACCGTGGACCGGTAAAGCTCCATTGAAGAGCGCCAAGGAGAAGAAGCTGAAGCGCAAAGTTCCGCTCTTGGACTCGTTCGGTCCAATGGCGCCTGGAACCAGTGGAGTGAAGGAGGTGGTAATGGCGAGGCCCGTTGAGCTGGGCAAGTACCCGAAGCAAGAAAAGACGAGGGAGGAGATTTTAGGAGAGCCCTTGAAGAAATGGGAGATCAAAATGCTAATCCAGCCCCAATTATCAGATAATCGCCAAGTCAATCTCGGTCAGTTGTTTACTGTTTTGTTTCTTTTTGGTGTTTTGCGTTGAATTGAAAGAATGACTTTGTTTTTGTTGGTTTAGGAAGAGATGGGTTGACTCATAACATGTTGGATTTGATACATTCGCATTGGAAGCGGCGACCAGTCTGTAAAGTAAAATGCAAAGGTGTTCCAACTGTGGATATGGATAATGTATGCCGTCATATTGAGGTATTGGGTATTCCTTTTCAGCTTCTCAGCATCATACCCAATTGTGGTTGCTCTGCTTTTCACTTACACTATTACATATACATGTGAAATTTCAACAATGCAGTTAAAGCTGATGACGAGTCTATGGAGAAACTAGATGAAACTGAGGTTTTGTTTATGGTTACAGGAAAGAACTAAGGGGAAGATCATTCATCGAGTTGGTGGTGTAGTTTATCTTTTCCGTGGAAGAAACTATAGCTATAAAGACCGTCCTCAGTACCCATTGATGCTGTGGAAACCAGCTGCTCCAGTCTACCCCAAACTTATCCAAGAGGCTCCAGAAGGGTTGACAAAGGATCAAGCTGATGAGTTTCGGAAGAAAGGGAAAAGACTTTTGCCAATATGTAAATTAGGTAATGCCCCTACTAAATTGCACTGCTCATTCTTATACGTGAACTTCTTTTCATAGAAGGGTGGTTTGCTGACTTTGTCTGCCGTTTTTATATTGTTCCAATCCTTGTAACTGGAGCCATAAGATGTGAAGCAAGGCTTTTTGAATAACATGATACAGACACTTTATATGGTTTAATATTCCAAAAGGGTGCAAACTTGATCCTTCAGTGACACTGGTCATTGCATTCCAAAATTTTTGTGGCTTTATACCGTTGCAACCATTTTCTGTATCACATGGTTTGACTGAATTAAGATTAATAGACATAGAACCAAGGCTCTTTTTTTTATAACTTAGATGTTTATTTCAAAATATTTATAATGTTTTGTGCAATTGCAGCCAAAAATGGAGTATACATCACCTTGGTGAGAGATGTTAGGCATGCTTTTGAAGGAAGTCCTTTAGTAAAAATTGACTGCAGAGGGATGCATGCAAGTGATTACAAAAAATTGGGTGCTAAGCTTAAGGTTTGTATGCCTCTTCTGTTCCTGCAATCTTCCTCCTGTATCTTTTAGCCTGATCCTGTAATAAGACATGTAACAAAGAGTTGTCTTTTTAAGGTTTTAAATAAGCATATGGTTCTCTCTTTAATTTCTTCATTTCTTGCTTTCAAAACCTTAGGAGGTACTTATGTCTGTTTGACACCCAATGAACAATAAGTGGATGTGGATGGGAACTTCTGTACAAGTGCCAGATAGCATTTTTAAAATGTTGCTTGGTTGTGTGTATATTATGCAAAGAGTTACCTCAATCATTCTGTCTACCAATCTCTTGGTTTCCTAACCCTTTTCATCTACACTCGTGTACAGGAATTGGTTCCTTGTGTTCTACTTTCTTTTGATGGTGAACATATATTGATGTGGAGGGGTCCAAATTGGATATCAATGCACCAAGCAGCACCTTCACCTTCAGATACAGCTGATTTTGATATTCTATCATCAACAGGGAGGGGTACGAGTTACAATCCATAAGCATGAATATTTTTAGATCAATTAGAAATTACTGACCGAAGAATTAATAGATAATAAAACCATGTTTCAGGAAACTTCATAAGCTGATATTATCCTAACATCGTATCTAGATAAGAGTGGGATGATTCTATAGCAGGGGAACAGTGAGGCACTTGATTCTTTATCAGTTTATAATCTCCTATATTGATCATGTTCGTTTTTAACTGGAAAAATTCACAGATAGATTTTAATTAAGGGCTTTAAGATGATTTCACAAAGTCATGCAACATCATTTGGGGCCTTCTGTTATCAGCATCATGGATGGTAGATCTCATGATTAGAATAGACATGGTGGGATATTTTAGGACTTCTCAACCAAGTTGAAGGAAGCTTCTGTTTTTTGTTTTGAATATTAGTTAAATTTAGTTGATATTACCCTTGTAGCTACCAGAGTTCAGTATACATCAGTCGATAAGACCAGCATTACAATGTCGTTGGCACCCACCACTTTCAAGGAATCTTGGAAAGGGCAGTTATAATTGCAATCTGTTTGTTGGGAAAAGTACATATCAGTTGCTGACAAGAGAAGTAGTATCCTAGAAATTGCATTCTTGGGAACTAAATTCTTTTGAACTGACCTTAAACAAGAGACGCAGCATCCTAGAAATTGCATTATTGAGAACTAAGTTTTATTGAACCAATTGTGAGAAAGTTGCTCTCTCTAGTTACCAATTCGTATAGGGATTGATGTGGACAGTCTTTATAGTGTCTATAGCGTGATACATTGTTTTGTTTTCTTTCTCAGTAATAATACAATAGCAACTCAATTTAATTCTTGAAACACTAAATTTCTCTTGTAATACTAATGCAGTCATTCTCGATTGATTTTACAAGGCTCTGGCTTTGACTTCCATTTATATTTTGACCCTGCTTTTTCAGGCAAGGATTATGATAAACCTTGTAAGCCTGATACCAAAACAGTGATGACAAGCCCCAAAATGATGTCGCTTTGGAAACGCTCAATTGATTCGAACAAAGCCCTGTTGCTGGATGAACTTGACCTTGATCCTGATGCACTTTTGAAGAAAGTTGAGGAATTTGAGGGTGTTTCACAGACGACAGAGCACTCGTATCCAGCATTGATTGTGTCAAGTGAAGATGGCACGAGCAGCTCAGTTCAAGTGTTTGAAGAGATTCCCCAAAGTGACCCTTACAGTGAATATGACGATTACAGCGACAATTATGATTATGAGAGTGATGATGATGATGCATTTTATGATAGTGATTCTATCCCCTTGGGGTCGTTACCTGTTGATGTAATAGTAGAGGAACTGGATCATGATTAATTTCAATAAAATCTACAGGGCAGCCTCATCTGGTTTATAGTGTCACCTTGTTATTTCTTTTAGTCCCTTGTTTGCATTTACCCCCTGCTCATATAAATTATTATCCCTTCTGTAATTTCATAAATATTGTTAGGTTGGTAAATTCGAAGGATCAAATTTATAAGGATAAGCAAACACCAACAGAAGGATCAAATTTTGTTTGTGTTTATTTGGTAAATTCGATCAGATATGGGTTGGCGGTAAATAGCAATTAACACGGCATGCTCGTCATTTTTCATGAGGTCCACGTGGAATTGTTTGAATGGTTTGCTCGTTCTGGAAATAGAAACGTGCATCACCTAATCACACACAATTTTGAATAAAAAATGAAAATTTATTCTCGACTTAAAAGAGGAAAAGCTTGTTCTGTCTTCTCTTCGATCTTCTCCAATCCCGCTACTGCAAACATCAGACAACAAAACCTCCCGCGAACCCAACAAAAAAGAAAAAAAGAAAAGAAACAAAGACCCTCCATTTACTCTCTCTCTCTCTCTCTCTCTCTCTCTCTCTCTCTCTCTGAGAGAAAGAGAGAAGCAAAGCATCTGTCTTTTACCTTTGAATTTCATAGCGAACACACCTTTCATTTTCAGAGGAATCAACCCTACTATTCTCGTTTGGATGTGATCGTGAATTCGTGACATTCTTTGGGTAAAACCCACTTTAAAGTAAGGAATCTCTCTCTTCTTCTTTCTTAATAAATTCATGAGAAACCATAACAGTCCTTAGCTCTGGTATCTGGGTTTTGCCTGCATTTGTATATGGAATAGTTCAGCTATAAAATTATACTCCATTCATTCTCTGTGTGTACATATTCAAATCCAAAAAGTTTTGGGTTCTTCAACCTCTAATTAAGTACTTTGCTTGTAGATTTTGTATTTGAAGATATTTTTCTTTATATTTGATTTGTACTTTCAAATACTTATCAGTACGCTTTTTATAAAATGTTTATGTTTTGTTACAGCGGACTAACAATGAAGCTTACCTTAATACTGGGTCTAAGTTTCCAACCGAGTTCAATTTATTTATTTATAATCCTTTTAACATTTGGAACTGCTTTTGGCTAACTTTCACATTTCAACTGTTGTCACATTTGAATTGTTTTGATTTTCATGCTTTCTGATTCCACTTTCTTTGAAAAAATTTCGGCATAGACTTGTTCATGATCATTTAATTTAAACACTTAGCCCTTGAATCCAAATTGACTAACATAATTAGTGGAGCAAGTACAAGTGAAGTGAGTAACTTATGAGTTTCTTAACAGGATCTTCGAACCATACTTGGCAGCCCGTCATGACTGCCGATACTAATGATCCAAGTTACTGGCTGAACTGGAGGTTCCTCATCTGTGCAATATGGATCGCATCTACTATGGTTGTAGCCTCAATTCTTATATGGAAATATGAAGGTTTCAACAAACTTAGAACGAACAGGAGGGCAGCTCGGCGAGAAACAGTAGGGTCTTTGTATGAGGATGAAGCCTGGAAGACATGCCTTAAAGGAATACATCCCAATTGGTTACTTGCTTATAGAATAATTGCTTTCATTGTGATGTTGTGGTTGATAGTTGCCAATGTTGCTCTAGATGGATTCGGCATCTTTTACTTTTATACACAGTAAGCTATCTATCTGTATCTGCAGTTTTCATCTTCATAATCACAAAAATATCTCTTTGAGGAGCGGATGCCAACAAATTTGAAGCTCATTGCACTAATTGTATTTGCACGATGTATATGTTGATGTAGTCTGTTCCCTTTTTGCGCTTAACAGGTGGACATTTACTTTGGTCACCTTTTATTTTGGGGTATGTTTTTCAACTCTTGAAGGTCTTGAACATACCTGCATTTACATTGTAGTAAAATATGATAAATATAAAACTAGAATAGTAGTTTCTTTGGTTACCTTGGATTGCTCAGGCCAATCTTACCACTCAAAGATGCTCAATAGGATAAGTCAGCAGCTTTTCAGTTCAAAACACATAAAACCCTTCTATCTGTTAATGTCCCAGTACCTTTAATCGATTAATGAAGTATGGCAACCATTATGCTTAGTTTACTCGAATGTCCCTGTCCCTAATTTACTTATTCTCTGAACTTCATTTTGTAGCTGGCATCTTCGCTCTCTCTTCATGGAATTTGCAAGTATCGCAATAGAGTTGGTGAGGATGAAGAGCGAGGTACTTATGTTGCTCCAACACTTGGGGAGAATAGTAATCCATCCAATGCATCTAAAACTTTAACTGCCGAGGAATATCATGGCCGTGAAGGCGCAGGTGCATGCGTTTATATCTTTCAGATTATTTATCAGGTAGGTTTCCTCCTATAAGGGGCTGCAGTTCTGGTTTAGAAATGATGACTTGGATTCTTTATAAGTTTTGTAATTTCTGAGTTCTGTTATCTCAACCTGGTCATTTCCTTGCCTTTGTATCCGTGTTAGATGTGTGGAGGTGCTGTTGCTCTCACTGATTGCATATTTTGGCTCGTTCTGTATCCATTTCTAACAGCCGCAGATTACAAACTGAATTTTGTAAGTCTACAAGCCTGGTAATTTCATTGACAGTTTATCTGTTCTTGTCTTCTTGTAATGAGTTTCCTCTCCATTCAACTGCAGATGATTGTCAGTATGCATTCAATCAATGCTGTTTTCCTCCTTGGCGAGGCATTGTTGAATTGCATGGTAAGTTTGGTTCCTTATTCATTATAATGGCATTTCTGCTTATTATTTCACCATTAATGATTTACAAAAATTCAATTGTCTCCTCCTTCCAGCGGTTTCCATTGTTTCGAATCGCTTACTTTGTGCTATGGACGGGAATATTCGTGATATTTCAGTGGATATTACATGCTTGCAAATCTATGTGGTAAAACTATACTCAAAATTGTCACATTTCCTTGAGTTGTTACATTTCTTTTAGAGATCGAAGAAATTTAACTATCGTTCATAATATTTTTTAACTTTACTGCAGGTGGCCCTATCCATTTCTTGACTTGTCATCCTCATCTGCTCCTTTATGGTATGTTGTTTACCTCCTTATTGTTAATTGTAGCAAAGTAAATTCGAGATGAAATTTACCGAAGTATATAAAAACTACTTGCCAGAAACTGTTACAGCTCTATCATCGTTTACCTTACGATCACTCACCTTGCAGGTATCTTGGGGTTGGATTGATGCACATCCCATGCTACGGTGTCTTTGCTTTAATAATTAGGATGAAGCAGCTTTTGTTGTCAAGAGCATTCCCGGATTCTTATCAGAATTGAGAGATGAAGAAAGATTGGGGCCACAAATTGCAGAACCATTTCATATAAAACGATTAGTGATGTTAATTTTTTGGCCTGGATAAAGAGGAAAGATTGGTGCTTCAGGCTTCCAGTTGTAGTTAGCTGCACTGCACATGATGATTATCTTCAAAAGCAGCCATTGATTGCAGATTTGCACATTCAATATTATGATTAATTATTCCATCATTTGGTAAATAAAATTTTAATTACAAGCTTGAATTTTTATTTTTAACTTTTAAATTTTATGAACAGCGTGTTGTATACCTGTGGATATTTTTGACAAGTTTTAAAACTGTTCTCAAATTGTAATAAGTTTGCCTGTGATTATTATTTTGAAAAAAAAAGTCTGCAACAGAGCCACACCTGAGTTGGCTGGCTTTAGAACAAACCGTGGGATTTTAAATAATAGATTGGTCGTTCCCTATAACGATAAACCAACCCATCACGGTCCTTACATAAACACAAGCGTCATCGAACAAATTAACCTGCAGATCATATGTCCAAACCAACTAGAGCTTTACAGGCATCACCACATTACTGTGCAGGCAGCACCCTGTTACCGAAGTTGAGACCTGGATAGTTATGATCCATGGCATCAATTTTCGCTTTGATGTCCGAAGAACCTTGCCATAATGCAGGTTCTTCATTCTTGGCCTCATGCTCTCATTAAGAGGTTAGCATCTACCAGCAGAGGACCAAACACCTTGCATCAAACCTGCATCTAAACTAAACCCTACGAATATTTTGCTCATCGATAACGAACAGCATGCACTCATTATCTACTACACATTTAAATGCAGATGAATGAAACAGAGCCTGCACTCTCAATTTATTATGCAGTTTGAATTTGTATATCAACTTCAAGAATCTGACAAACAAATTACAAACTTGTTTACAGAAGAATAAAACTCAAACCCTTCTGCAATTCACTGCAAATGTCATCTCATTTTAATACAAAACAACCAAATTACAACCAGTGTAGTTTCAATAAGAGACGAGAGTCTATCATTCATTGCGCACAGAGTTGCAGCTAAAAAGAAAATTCCAATATTTGTTCGCTCAAACGAAGGCCCCCATCTTCAGTACCTGTGTTCCAACTTCTCCTTCTCTTGGTATTGCTGCACATACCTGCAAACCCACCCCAAAAAACACTCACATGATCTACTAATTCAGCTGATCTTAAAGTCTTAAAAACAATCCCCAATTCATCAGCTATATCAATAGATAATCCAATCATTCCAAAATGCAACATTTTGACCATAAATTTCAACAGTTCACCGCAAATACTTATGACCTGCTCCTAATTCCCAGTACCAATTGAACATTAATACTATTAATTAACTATTTAAGCAACATAATTGAAAAAGAAAACCCTAATTTTTCACTCTGTCAAAAACGATAGAGTTAGATCGAAGAATTACGTGTAGGTGGCGACGAGAGGAGCAAGAAGGAGAGTGGCGCTGAGCCAGTTCTCGGAGACCTTGTGGTGGATCTTGCCGGTGAAGTCCCTCCACAGCCCAGGCATCACCTTCTGCTGGAACGGCGACAGCGAGTACACCACTGCTCTCATCTGCACCGGATGCTTCCCCATTCTCTCAACAATGACCTGTCTTCCGTTCACTCCACGCTCTATAAACTACTCAAATCAAACGACGAGACAGTCAACGTCGTTGCCATCTCATGAATGACGGCTCGAATCTGATTGACGTTATCCATCCAACCACAAGATGCCACGTCGTCAGCTACTTAATAAACCGAAAAATTATTGTACGATATTGGAACAAGGTGATGTGATGAGTACTTTACGTGATAATCAAAGTATAGTGATTTGAAATAATTTCTTCTCGAGACAAGATTTTAGGGAAGGTCTAAAATATCGATGTTATCGAAAATATCGATAGTCCAAAAATACAAAAATTTCTATGGAAATATCGGGATATTATCGATATCGAAAAAAATTGAATAAAAATCATGAAAAATTGTAAGAAAACCTTGGAAATTTTTATTGAAACTTTTGACGATGTTTATTTAGTTAATTATCTATTAGTTTATCACAAAAAAATTGAAAGGAAATGCATTGCATGATGGGTTTAACTGATTTAAGTTTATTATATAGCGAGCTGACAAATACTATAAGTGTAGAAAATATTTAGTAATTAATTAAAGAAGATTAAACATCCCATAATTATTTATATACAATGATTTAGTACAATATTTTACACTTTATATATTACATGGTAAGATATATGAATGACTTAGTACCACATAGAGTTCTCATTTGTGTATTATCACAAAAACATAAGCAACACAGTGGTTAAGACTTTGGAGGAATGGAATGGCAGGAGTTCGAATTCCCTTTGTGTGTGTGCTTTGTGTTTTTTTTTGCCTTTTGTTTCCATTACATTGATATTTTCGATATTATAACAATATTTTGACAAAATATTGCTAAAGTGTGATCAAAATTATCGACGTCGATATTTTTCGATATTATCGATATTTATATGATATGTGTATGGATACGTTATGAAATATCCATGACTCGAAAAAATGATAATATCCTCGATATTTCGTCTATATTATAGATATTTTATACTATGGTCTTAGGTTTGAGTCATAAGGCCATCTTCAGGTTATATGGCTAAATGTAGTCCATAGCTAAAAATTTAGTCATTCAAAATATTAATTTTTTAAAGAATAGTGTAGGGCTAAATTTTCCCATCTCCAGCCATGCAGGGCTATATTTTAGGGTCCTTCATAGTTTATTATTTTGAAAAGGGGAGTGGGGAGTGCTTTAATGATTGGTTGTTGAAAAGCACATGGATGGGGCCCACTATAAATTTGACCTAGGCCAAAGTTAGGCTACATTTGGCCCGGTTGGAGGGCTAAAGGGCCAAAGGTGGCCCTCCAAATTTTGCCAAAATTTTATTTAGTCCATGACTGGAGATGAGTTTTGCATTAATTTAGGGCTGTATTTGGGATATAGCTCATGGCTGGAGATGGCCTAACATATGTGTAATGTGTGTAAGTTTAATATACTATCACTCATCTCAATAGGAAAGATCCTAAACGTGAGATAATTTGTTCGCATATTATAATATAGGTGCCGTCAGATACTCAATAAACTGAGAATATTATATACTATTGGAATACAATCGCATAGTATAACATGTCCACGTGTCATCATATATATATGTATCATTAGGCATTCTCCAACCCATGAGGGGCTAAACCCAAATTTCCTCCTTCCAAAAAGTGACTATTTGGGTTTTGCCTGGACTCAAATCGTTTTTTCTCCCAACTCTCCGGACTCAAATTTTAAGTCCGCAGCTTTATTTAAATTGTTTAAGAATTGTTTAAGTCTATTTTTTTTAATAGATAATTTTTCTTCATTTAATCTTTTTAAATATCATAATTTAATTTTTTTTGAACAATTTGACCTAAAAAAAAAAATTGAAATTCCATAATTTTTTTTAATGGAAACAGCCAACATGTGGGCCCAATCGATACTATATGATTTTTTTTTTTAAAAATAAAAAGAGACAACCGAAGCCCAACAGCTCTCTCACCTAGTGCCAACACGTGGCCCATGCCACAGACGAGCCCATCAGAACATGTAACCAGCGTGGGTCCCACCATTTTTCAGAAGCACATGGGCTCTGCCACCTTAGCATGGGCTCCATTGAATAGTATTAGGTCCAGGCAATACTTGAACCTACATTTGGATCAAATTTTGGGTCCTTCATTTTCTTGGGTTGGGAGAGGTTTGGGGGGATATTTTGGGTTTGAGTCCAAGGGTTGGAGATGGCCTTAGGTACTCAATAAACTGAAAAATTATTATGTGGTATCGAAATATGGCATGTGATAAAATCTATAATTTGGTTGGCCAATGTAGTTAATCTATCACTTTTAAAACATTATTAATATTATATTTTAGAGGCTCTGATTTGCCCACTCCCTTTTGTTTTTTAATATTTTATAATCAATTTTGTTCTTTCTCTTTCCTATTTTATCATTATCCAACATTAATTTCTTTTTTACTACATTTTATATTATTTCTTTTTCTTTACACTTAATTTTCTAACTTACACTCCATTTTCAGTATTAAAGGGAAAAAAGAAACTTAATTTATTACTTGAGGAAAAAAAATACCAAACATGGAATGCAAGTTGGAAAATTAAATGTAAAGAAAAAGAACTAATATAAAAGTGAAGTAAAAAGAAATCAATGTAGGGTAATGATAGAATATGAAAAAGAAAGAATAAAATTGATTAAAAAGTATTAAAAAGCAAAAAGGAGTGTAAATGGAGAAAAAAAGAATGGGGAAATCACATCCCTTAAAGGCTTATTTATGTACATGCACTCATGTGCTTTAAAACTTGTTTTATATTACCACATGTGCTTTGAAACATATCAAAATACCCCCCACATTTTAAAAAACAGTCTCACGTTACTCCTTCTGTCAGTATTATAGACGTTCCGTTACGTGCTTTGGGCCCCACTTTGTTTCAATCCTTAACATTGGAGAACAAGGGTTTTTTAGTTTCAGAAAAGGGAAAAGGGTATTTGGGTGAGAATGGGAAATTTGGATAAGAATGCTTGGGCTTATCAAAATCTGAGAGGGGTTCGAATTTTGGGAGAATCTGAAAAAGAAATCATGAGTTTATAAAACTCTGAGGTGGGGTTTGAAATTGGGAGATTCTGGAGTAGAAGATTAGGGTTTATGAATCTCTAAGTGGAGTTCGGATTTGGGAAAATGAGAAGGGGGTCACACGATTTGGGAGAAAAGGGGGAAAGGGGATTTCATATTTGGAGGTTCAGCTGGTTCTTTTTTATGTGAATACTGACTAAATTGAAGAAGAGATGGAAATAGGAGAAGCAAGGCATGCCCAATGGTGTCATTGTGGAAGTTAGCACGAATGCAGACTTCGTGGACCACTTCAAACCTAGGGCGGAGATTTCTAGTCTGCCCAAAATCAAAGGTAAGAATGTTTAAGATCAAATTTTCAGTCATTGTTTTGGGCATCACAAATTGATAGAGTTCTTATTGATGAAATTTTCAGTCATTGATCAAATTAATCAAATTTTTAGTTATTGTTCTTGGTTGATATAGTGAAATGGTGAAAAAGGATGTAAGTTTTTTTCAGTGGTTTGATGCAGAAATGTGTGAGCGTTCAAAGTCTTTGATACCTGGTTTGCTGAGGAAGATTGATAGGGTGGAGAAGGAAAATGCAAAGATTCGAGCAAAGTCAAAAATATTGTGGGCTGCTATGTTGCTTTCTTGGTTGGTGGTGCTTGCCATGAAGATGAATTAGGATGAATTATGAGGAATTAAGAGTAATATGTTTTGTAATTTAGTGGGTGTAATGTGATTGAGAAGCAGTAGTTTAATGGGCAATGTAATTTGAGAACAAATGCTAATATAATATAGCAGTAGTTTAGTTTGTGTAATGTAATGTAATTTGGTGGGAAAACAATGTAATTTGTTTTGAGTTTTATCAGTAAGCATTAGTTCATTGTAAGTTGTTTAGAGTTTAGAGTTTTCTTTGATCTATGATATGAATGGAAACTTGTTTGGAGGTTACAAATGGTGACATACTGATAAGCATCATACCGAAAACAGGTTACAACCATATCTTATTCATTGGATACCAAAAACAGGTTACAAAAACAAGTTACTCATAAGTATATATTGTTCATGCCATATCAAGTGGTTACATCTCAATACCTGATCAATATAAACACAACACCAAAACAAGTTCCAACCATCACATTACATATCAAATGGTCAATTACATCTAAGTACCTGACTCAAAAACCTTGACAAACATGAAAGCCTAAGAAAACCAACTATTACAGGCATCAATAATCCCACAAACCAACAACCCAATTGCAACCATAATCAAACCATTAAAGTCTTATAGAACTAACTAATTGTATAATCTATAATTCTACAACATTCAAACCATTCAAAAAGAATTCATCTTAATTCAAAAACAGATTGCAAAAGTTCAACATCATCACATCTAAGGATGAAAAAAAAAGGATCTTTGACAAAATGATCCATCTGTTGATCTTTCATCATCCTTCTACGTTGTTGTACTCGAGATAGTTTGGTAGATTGAGATGAATCACATGTTTGAGAAGCCTGAGTTGCTTGAGATGGTTGCGATTGAGAAGCATGAGCTGCTTGAGATGGTTGTGATTGAGAAGCCTGGGCTACTTCAGATGTCTGGGATTGAGAAGGCCCTTGGGAACCACTTGCTTGTTTCCTTTGCTTTAGTTGCATACTTTGTTGTCCGCTACTTTGGTCTGCACCATATCTCATTCTTACCTAAAACAAATAATAATTACGTAGGTATGATATGAAATTTGAATGGTGAAAACATAGTTGAAACCGTGGCACTTACTGAAAGTTTTTCCTTAGCAACTTTCCTCTTCCTATTAGGCTTTATGTTAGGATTTCTAGGTTCCTTATAAGCAAAGTCATCAAGTCAGAAACCAAATCAAATAGATTTAAATGTAAAACAATTTTGGATAATGACACATACCTTATAATTAATTCGATTATGTCATTCTCCACCGCAGTTGCCACACTTTAAAGAGATGACATACCTAGGAAGCTTATATGGATTAGCAGAGTTGTTAGGCTAATCAAAGGCTTGTTTTCTTGTCTTCTTGGGCCTACCAGGCTACTTGTGGTATTTTTTAGGGAGTAATGGAGGTAAAGTAATCTTCATCCACTGATTTTGGCTAGTTATAGGCATAATCATTGGTTCATAGGCTCTCAAATAAGCATATTTCTTGTACAATGTATCACAAAAGTCCTTTAGATTCCCATGAAACTAACTTATTGCAGCACAAGCATGCAAACATGGTATTCCATTCAAATCCTAGGCATGACATGAACAAGAGTGGGCATTCAAATCAATAGTAAAGTTACGACCACTATGGTGCATTACTTCAAACTTATTCTGTCCAGCAGCCTTAAGAATGCACCACTAAGATTTTCCTTTGTTTTCTCTAATATCTTTTTAATTCTTGGCTCAACTTGTCCATGCCATTTCTCACAGAAAACCCTTCTTCCAACCATTAACAACATTATATACAACTGAATTCTTCCTAGTATAGTCAAAACAGGCTTGTCTTTGTCATCCATTATGCTACGGTTGAATGCCTCACATAAGTTGTTCATAAGCATGTCATACTTGGAATCACTCTTGAAATATGTCATACTCCAATGCCTAGGATCTTTCTCTACAAGCCAATCATGTGCAGGTTTAGACAACTCCAACATCTTTCTCATCTCTGCATGAAACCATGACACTGTTGTGGCCCTAGAAATTGCTTCCATTTGATGTTTCAAACAATGTCTATGCTCTGCATGAGGGAATAGAGCATCCACATCATCTATTAAACCTTTTTGTTTGTCAGTCATAAATACATAATCATGACTATTCCTAATATTCAGATCACCACTCAATAATTCTAAAAACCATAGCCATGTTGAATTGCTCTCAATCTCTACGTATGCATAGTCAAGTGGAAACATTCCGTTGTTTGCATCAACTTCCATTACAGAAAGCACTTGCCTAGGGTGAGGCCCTTTGATATGACACACATCCAAGCAAACCACAGGTCTACAACCATCTAAAAACCCTTTTTTCAGGTTGCAAGGCAGATGTAAATCCTCTAAAACCGTGACCAATCACCTTTCATTTCAGATTTAATGATAATTGTACTTCCCACATTTTTGGTTCTTAACTCATGACAATAATCCCACAATACTTCATATTGTTTATTGTAAGACTCATCTACAATATCAACTGTCATGGCTCTTGCTCTTTACACAGTTGCTCTAGATGGTCTGTAACCATAGTCTTAGTGAACTTGCTCTGCAAAAGAAGAAGCAGTCCAATTTGGATTGAGCCTTAACTACCCAAAATATCTTTCAGCCAACCAGCTAGCAGTGACATGTATATTTTTACTCCCCTTACTACAAACATATGTAGGATTAAAGGTTTTCACCTGCAGGTAAGTGCTATCACTAACACTTGAAGCATGGATAACAAAATGACAGCCCTCTTCACATGCCACTCTTATTTTGTTATAGTCATTATTCATAAATATCAACTCTTTTCCACAATTAATGTAGTATATCTTTACAGTTTTTCTAAACATCTCGATAGTTGCAAACTTTAAACCTATTTTGAAACCTAGGTTTGCCATATCAATTTTAGGTTTGAAATCTTCACCTTTTGGCATTATATTCTTCTTCCTTCTTAGTTCACATGCTGCTTCATCTTCACTTGAAGAGCTATTTGGACAGGTAAGTGTAGGTGACTCTTATCCATTGTCTGACTCATCATTTTCCTCTGCATTAGGATTATTGTTAGTACAACTATGATCCACATAACCTTCAAACCATTTATCATCCTTCTTCAATAAGTCAATCTCTTCATCACTTTGTGTATAGTCACTGTCTTCAAAGTCTAGATCACTACTATCACCATCCTCAGAACAAGAATATTCTGGATCACTGTTATCATTACCCACTTGGCTTGAAGTCAGGCTCACTACTTTCAAGTACAAAAATATCACAATGTTATTGCTTTTAGGTACCGTGCTCATACAAGCTAAAAGCGTACTATCTGATACTATTTGAATGATTATACTAGTTCCAAACTCTTGACCATAAAAACTCATATCATACCCATTGTCATATCTCAAATCTTTAGTCATTCCAAATAGCTCTAACATGGACATATAGTCAACCTCACAATAATCAAACCAACTGACTTCACCACCCAAATAAGACCATTCACTGTGCCTTCTATTTTTAACTAGTTTATCTCCATGGAAAAACTTCAATGTAACAACCTTGTCAGCGTTTTTATCTATGTAAAATGAAGATTGACTTAACAAATCGACAAAGGTAACAAAGACAAAACAAGGATGACATAAGTACAATACAAGGAACACACAAGGATCACATAAGGACCACACCAGGATCAGCACAGAGTAAAAAACGTAAACGGAAAAAAAAAACTCCAACAACAGTTCAATACACATGCCAAAATCAAGAAAATCGAGTGAAAATGGGTTCACTTACATATGGGTTAACAACCTCCAGATTCTTTAAGCACCACCATCTTCGCACTTTCTAACCTTAAAGTCTAACGTAAAATAGTGATTTCTTCTCCAGATTCTCCCAAAATCAAACCTCACCTCAGATTTTCATAAACCCTAGCCCTCTTCTCCCAATTTCCCCTTTTTTGAAACAGAAAAATGTTTATTCTCCAATGTTAAGGATTGAAACGAAGTGAGGCCCAAAGCATAACGGAACTTTTATCATACTGATAGAATGGGTAACGTGAGATCGTTTTTAAAAATGTGGGGGGTATTTTGAGACGTTTCAAAGTACATGTGATAATCTGAGACAAGTTTAAAAGTACGTGGGGGCATGTATATAAATAAACTCTCTTAAAATATAATATTAATAAATATTCACTTTATCCCGTGCAATCATACTCTTGTACTAGACCCTAATCAGTCCATATAACCGGCGACTTTTAATTGAAGGAGGATGACGTATCCCACCGCCCTACTATGGCATTTTCGTAAAAGATTAACGACCAAATGGCTATTTAATTGAGACTCGTTTCCAACGAGCAAAGTGAAAGAGTAGGCTGAAGAGACCAAAACTAGCTTTGCTTCCTCCAACTTGAGGACGGCATTTTCGTTCCTTAAACTCTACACGGAGTTGAGAGTTCCGTCCTGAATTTCAAAGGTCTGCTCCATTCCAACTCTGCAAGTACATTTTTTAATCCATTACCTTAGAGATTTTCAGTTTTTTTTTTCCTCTGTTTTCATTGTTTTTGTGAAGAAATGCTGATCGGTCAATTGACAATTCCTAAGCTAATTTCCATTTTTGGCTGTCAAAGCATACAAATTTACTTATATTTTAACTAATTGATCGGTCTCGTTGAAGGGTTGATATGATGCTTGATGCTTAAATCACTAGTGAACCAGCCTGATTACTTCAAAATCTTTGCTGGGTTTTTTCCTTCGACAAAGAAGTTTGAAACTTTTTCAGAAAGAAAAGTTGGGTTATTGTCTAATAGCATTGAAAAATTTGAACTTGTTGTGTTGGTAGCAGAATTATCGAAGATTGGGAACTGTATTCAAGTGCAGGACGAGGAAATGGGATCAGAAGGACCGAAGAGTGTTGTCATTCATGTGAGTGGATTCAAGAAGTTCCAAGGCGTTGCTGAGAATCCCACAGAGACCATAGTTAAGAATCTAAAAGGCTTCGTTGAGAAGAAAGAGTTGCCTGCTGGTCTTACTCTGGGCAGCTGCACTGTTCTTGAGACCGCAGGAGATGGCGCACGTCCTGCTCTTTACAAGACCATGGATTCCGGCGTTTCAACAACTGATTCTACCACCAATGAACAAGTCGTATGGGTCAGTGTCTCATTTATGATTGCTAAATTGACTTTCCTTTTGGAGGTTTGAGTCAAAAAATTAAAAGTTAAAAATTCCAAACCATTTTGAAAAGTTAAATGCTATTCTCTGACTGTGTTTCGACGGGGTCTAGCCTAGGAATTGGACATGTTTGGGATATTGGGGACTAATTGGTTTCAAAAGAATTCAGAAATATTCTCAGGAGTTAGGCTGGCCTTGAATGGTGTTCTCCAGGATGCACTTAAAGTAAATTATAAGACGGACCTCAGTTATTTGAACACTACTAGGGAAGTTACTAACTCTTATGAAGTCCTAAGAGTCATTCTATAGTGAGGGAGGGCCTTGTATATGGCCCTTTTATTTTTTTGGGTCTTATCTCTTAACTGTTGGATTAAATTGGTTAGCATGGTCCAACGGTTAAGAGATAGGGCCTCACCTAAGGGCCATGTATAAGGCCCTCACTATAGAATTCTTGGAAGTCCTAAACCAGTATGTTTTTTTTTCTTTTTCCCATCAATGCGGGTGGGGAGATTCGAACTTAGGACCTCTTCCAACATTTGGAAGAGAATTACCACTAGATCAAGAGCTAGTTGGTTCCTAAACCACAATCCATTAGTAACTCCAAGCACATATCTTGGATTTAGTAATTCATTCATTGCTGGTTCCTTATCATCTTTATTAATATGTCCAGAAAAGTTATTGTCTTTGGGAATAGATGGACTCTGTCACCAGTCACAAAATTGGTTCTTCATGGGGAACTAACTTACAGTGTAAATTTTATGCATCTACTCCCCTTATGCTTGGCTTGTTTGGCCTATGAGAATGTCTGCCTTGTGAGGACCTAGAGGACATTTTGGTCTCTGATTGTTTAGCGGCTTTTGTTAAACGCTGAATCCAATAGACCTTTCAGTTCCGATCATCATTATACTTCAATGATCTAGCCACTCCCCTGCCATGAATCAATCATATGTAGCCAAAGTTTAAGGCAAAAACTTTGATATCTAATTCGCCTTAAACTTATTGTGCCTCACCTAAGACTTCTCGTCAGGTTTTGTTGCTTTGCAGATAAATCTTTTGAACAATGATCGTATGGCTAATTTTATGAAACTGTGTGAACAGTTTGCAATAGAAATTTTAAAAGGATGGTCATGCAGAAGCAGTTGCTAGTTTCAGTCCCCAGTATCTTGTTAAAATACTTAACCTTCGTTGCTTTTTCAGCTTCACTTGGGGGTGAATAGTGGGGCTCTAAAATTTGCCATTGAGCGGCAAGCGATAAATGAAGCCACTTTCCGTTGTCCAGATGAGTTTGGATGGCAACCTCAGGTGGGTGTGGTTCGTTGTGTTTTAATGGTGTATTGTTTATTTATTTACCGATGTTTATATTATCTTCACTTTTTCTTGAACTTAATATTTTAAATTTTTTCTTCCTTTTCTAGCAACTGCCAATAATCGCCGAGGATGGAGGAACTTCTCGAGCTAGAGAGGTACTTGTATAATCTGTTTGCAATGTTATTCATAAAATTAAAAAGTAAAAAAGTTTTTCATTCTTTACTGAGCAGTTCATTTCCATTATGATGGAAAAAAAACAAAGGTTCCTATTTAGAATTTTGATACGCTGTGAGTTCATCAATACTTAGGGAGGGACTTAAACGTATAGTTTGAGTTGTACTGAATTTTCATTTTGCAGAAATTAGGGGAAGGCCTCAATTGTGCAGGTTTTAACATTGATTTATGTAATAAGTAATGTTATTGTGACATACTGTGATGTGCTTAATTTATCCAACCAATAAATTGTTTGATGAGTTGTGGCCGAAATAGCCTCGTCAGTTATTGCACTAGTTCTAATTAGAACTGAAAGGGGAACTGCTGCTTACCCTAAGGAAGTTCTGTTGTAAAATTACAATATTAACAAATTAGTAGTCCATACCGTTTCTCTCTCTCAGCGTGTCCATGTTGGCTAACTTTTCCACCATTTGGTTCTTGAAGACTTCGTGCTCGACGGAGGCAATCCATAAGATCTTGAAGAAGAAAGGATATGATGTGGCAATATCAGATGATGCAGGGCGTTTCGTGTGCAATTATGTCTACTATCATTCCCTCCGTTTCGCCGAAGAAAAGGGTCACAAATCTCTATTTGTCCATGTTCCTCTCTTTTCAAGAATTGACGAAGAAACTCAGATGCACTTTGTGGCCTCCCTTTTGGAGGCGATTGCAGCAACATGTTAATGTTAATACTCTGAATGCTTCTCTTTGCGTTATCTTGCCATCTGCGGCTAAATGTAAATCAAGGGTGTTAATATCATTACAATTGTAAAATAATCTATATGAACGTCTATTGCTGTTTGCTTTTTGGGTGAGGGAATTTGCTGTCCTATTGTCCAGGAATGTCATTATATATGTAAAAAAATTCAGCTCCATCGTGTGACGGTGTACGAGTATTTGCTGCTACCACTTTGTCTGATTATTCCTTTTCCAAAGACATCATGTGTTTTTCAATTTGCATATGTCAGGCTTTAATTTCTAAAATGAATTGAGTGTCTGCAAGTGGATCGAAGATAAGAAAGTTGTATTAGCATGACGTGCAGATTTTCCATGATTTTGATTATTTTTCTTTACAGTTTGGTTTGGACTGGAAGACAAGTTGGTGGGAATTGTGCTGATAAAATGCAATTTGCAAGCAAAGCAAAGCCCTTAACTTCGTTGTTTGGGGATATTTCCAAGTTTGGTTAGGTCAAAGAAGGTGTCTTTGGGTAAACCCAAAAAGAGTGTCTTTGCAGATAGTCAAAATTCCTTTCACGACAGCGAGGGTAATTAAAATGGTCAATGATTAATACGAACCATAATTTAGATTTTCAAATGTCGTCAATTTCACTTCGGAAAGGCGCATGGGCAATGCGAATTGCTAGGTTGCTATCTTCTGTACGTTTCAAAACGACGTTTGCACCAAACTTCAGCGCAGCCATAACCTCATCCACCTCATCTCTGCATTTTGACTCGTACTGTGAACCCGGTGCTCAAGACCATGTTTACTTCAACAACCGGAAAATAGACAGCTTGATCAAATCCGGGGACCTGAACTCTGCCCTCAACTGGTTCGATGAAATGCTTGTATACGACGTCGTTACCTATAACTTGTTAATTTCTGGGCACGGCCGATATGGGTTTCCACAACAGGCTTTTCACCTCTATACTGAAATGGTTTCACAAGGAATTAGAGAGAGTGCTTCGACGTTTTCTTCTGTTTTGGGTATTTGTGTTGACGCAGGGTTTTGTAGAGAAGGAATTCAAGCTCACTCCAGGGTGGTCTCACTTGGGTTCAGCTTGAATTTGTATGTGGGGAGCTCCCTTGTTGACCTTTATTTGCATATGGGACTAGAGAATGTAGCTTTGAAGTTGTTCGATGAGTTGCCTGACCGAAACTTAGCCATATGGAATTTGTTGTTACGTGGGTTTTGTGAATTGGGTAGGGTGGATGAGCTATATGGTAGGTATTCTAGGATGAAATTGGATGGTGTCGAACCAAATGGGCTAACTTATTGTTATTTGATTCGCGCATGCAGTAATGGGAGGCTCTTAGATGAAGGAAAGCAGCTACATTGCCATGTTGTTAAGGACGGATGGGTAGAGTCGAATGTATTTGTTGCCAATGCTCTGGTGGATTTATACTCTTCTTGTGGGAGTTTGATTGATGCAACAGAAGCATTTAAAGCTATTCCAACGGAGGATGTGATTTCATGGAATTCAATTGTCTGTGTCTGCACCGAAAATGGTTTACTGCTTGATGCTCTTGAATTATTTGCTAAGATGCAGTGCTGGGAGAAGAGGCCATCAGTCCGTTCCCTTGTTGGGTTTTTGAATTTAGCTAGTAGGACTGGGAATATTGAACTTGGAAAGCAGATGCACTCTTATGTTGTGAAATCAGGTTTTGATCGTGGTGGGAGTGTTCATATTCAATCTGCTCTGATAGATATGTACGGGAAATGCAGCGAGATTGAGAGTTCGGTGTCCATATATGAAAGTGTTCATGAGAAAACTTTGGAGTGTTGTAATTCATTAATGTCCTCTTTGTTGCACTGTGGTGTTATTGAGGATGTGGTGGAGATGTTTGGTTTGATGGTTGATGAGGGAATTGGTCTTGATGAGGTTACTCTATCTACAATCCTGAAAGCTTTATCGGCATCTGCCATGGCAAGTTTGGGCAGCTGCAAATTGGTACACTGTTCTGCAATAAAATCAGGTTTTGAATCTGACATCGTGGTTTCATGTTCACTCATCGATGCTTATGCGAGATGTGGCCATGTCAAGCTTTCTCGCCAGGTCTTTGAAGAACTTCCTTCACCTAATGCCGTTTGTTTTACATCGATAATACACGGATATGCCCGAAATGGAATGGGAAGTGAAGGTCTTCATTTGCTCCAAGCAATGATCAGAAAAGGCCTGAAACCTGATAAAGTGACAATTTTGGGTGTGTTAAGTGGGTGCAACCATTCAGGGCTGGTGGAAGAAGCAAGAGTTCTGTTTGATTCAATGAAAAATCTATATGGGATTTCTCCCGACAGAAAGCACTTTTCATGTGTGGTTGATCTTTTAGGCCGGGCAGGTTTGCTAGATGACGCTGAAGAGTTGCTGCAACAGGCACCAGGAAATGGCGACTGTGTGATGTGGAGCTCATTGCTGCGAAGTTGTAGGGTACACAAGAATGAACTAGTGGGAAGGCGAACAGCAAAAACTTTGTTGGACCTTGACGTTGAAGATCCTGATATTTGGTTGCAAGCTTCAAACTTCTACTCTGAAATTGGAGAGTTTGACATTGCAATGCAAATGAGGGAAATTGCAACAGCACGGAAAGTGAAATGGGAGATGGGTCACAGTTTGGTCGAGCTAAACAGTCACCGTCCGATTTAGATCTTGAAATGATGGAACCACCTGACCAGATTCTTCATTGACCCCCAGATTCTTCAGCAACAATTTCAAGAAGCTGGCCCCTGCTTGTAAGGTGTAGTCTCCCTCAATAGAATTATTATTACTGTAGTGTTTTTTACTTCTTTTTATATTTTTTTCTGGGTGAAGCGTTTGGTGTGCATGCAGTGAATAAAAAAATATGCATCTGTGACCTTGTGTTTGGTATAACTAACTCGTTGACCTTTTCTTCTACTTTTTCTTCTTAGTAAGAAATTCATTTAATTTTGTTGTAACTGTACATTATTGTTATTATTATTTCAAATCCATCAAATTCTCGTTTCCCTCAAAGTATTGCACTTTGCAGATTTCAGTTTTTCTTTCCTTTTTGCTGAAAGAGATGCCACAGGCTGAATCCATGAACACTATTACTAGTGCATTTTTGTGCACTGATTTAAGAGTAAAGCAAAGAACAAATTTTCCCTTGCTTTAAGTGTGGGCTTGTAGAAAATGTAACATCTTCATCTACTTCCAAGGCAAGCCATGTAGGCCAGAAAACCCTTAAACTAATCTATACATATAAATTATAACCCATTGTTCATTGAAATTATACAAATCAATCAATCTGCAAAACAACAGAAAAGACAAACATGGATAAATTATTGATGGTTTCCTTTCTTGGTATGCTGATGGCAGTTTATGGAGTTGCAGGAAACATGGTATATGCCAACATTGGCATACTTGATGAGCTTGAAAGCTTTGACATTGCGGAAGACAATGAGGTGAACATTTTCGACATCCCGTCATGGACAAGTGAACGTGGTTGCAAGGTTCTTGTTAACGTGGATAGCTTTGGTGCAGTTGGAGATGGAGTTTCTGATGATACTCAGGTGAGTATACACAGTTTGTATATTTGGACATTTTTTGTCATTCAAGTGCACTTCATTTATTAATTTATTGCAAAGAGGACATGACGCTTCACAGCTTTAGTGTCTGAACTTGCCAATCTTTAACTGCGAAAAAATCATTTATCAGAACTAGTTTCTTTTACCATAATTGTTGACATTTATTCTTCTACAATGCCATTATTTTTAGGCTTTCCAAAAAGCCTGGGACATTGCCTGCTCTACAACACAATCGGTTTTCTTGGTACCCCTGGGACGCCAGTATCTAGTAAATGCAACAAAATTTCAAGGGCCATGCAAAGATAAGCTAGTCATCCAGGTAATCTGTAACACAATGTTCACGTCTAAATGAACATCTACCCTTCTTAGATCTGTTTTGCAAAGATAACTCTTTATAATCTATCTCATTTGTCATCATCAATGATAACTCTTCATATTCCATCTCTTTATACTCTTTACAATGTAAGACAATGTTCATGTTTGTAAATGGTACGATTGATTCACAGATTGATGGAACTATAGTAGCACCAGATGAGCCTAATAATTGGGATCCAAAATTCTCACGAGCATGGCTTGAATTTTCTAAATTGAATGGAGTCCTTTTCCAAGGGCATGGAGTTATTGATGGCTCTGGCAGTAAATGGTGGGCCTCATCCTGCAAAAAGAACAAGTCAAATGTATGTTTTTGGATTTTTATAGTTTCTACCGTATCCAAGTACTTCAGTTCAGGAAATGATCATTAACAATTTGACATTAATTTATCTTCCTGTCTCTTCCCTTTTCTACAGCCTTGCAGAGGGGCACCAACAGTATGTACCTTTCCCTTATTTACAACCATAGTTCGAAAAAAGAAATCATTCGAATCATATGGGACCATGATCACTGGATAGAATTGAAGTTGAGGTTTTTATTGCAGGCATTGACTATTGATAAGAGCTCAGCTATAAAGGTAAAAGGCCTCACCATCAAGAACGGCCAACAAATGAACTTTGTCATCTCTCAGTGTGACTCAGTGCGAGTTAATGCAGTACAAGTCTCGGCTCCAGGAGACAGCCCCAACACTGATGGAATCCATATAACTTCCTCTACAAATGTGGTTCTCCAAGACTGCAAAATTGGAACAGGTTCTTAAACTTTCGTCAACATAATTTCTCATCTCACTTTTTATAGCTCAAAAGGCAGGAACTGGAATAAAAATGAAACCAAAATGGTTATATGGGGAATGAATATCATCCTGTAACATAGTAGTTAAGAAAAAAAATAATCTTTGAGTAGATAACCCGAGCATTAAGCGATGGGAAACAAGTGAGTACAATTAACCTGAAATAAATGTCGCACATGCATGACCAAGTTCCTCCAAGTGAAAGGTGCACAGCCACAGCGCATTCATATTTCAACAAAAGGTACTGATGCATTGTGTTTCTTCAGGGGATGATTGCATTTCAATTGTCAATGGTACCTCCAATATTAAGATGAAGAGAATCTTTTGTGGACCGGGACATGGAATCAGGTACCATCTACTTTTGTTGTAGGCTAACCATACAGTTTGTGCCCCATGACGTCCCAAAGAGATATATGTCAGGCTCAAAATAATCATTCATCCTTTAATCTTTAAGTAAATGGAACTGAAATTTATATGCTTATTATCTTTGTTGGTACAAACCTATG